CATAGCCAAATGCAATACTAGTGAAAAAACAGTCAGAAGAGATTAGGACGGAAAAATTTCAGTGGCCTCCACCTGTTAAACCATTCCTGTTTTGGGGGTCTTCATTGTTGCCCCTCTAGTACACCTGTTGTTAATTTCATTAACACCAAAGCAGCTGAAACTGATTAACAACCCCCTCTGCTACTTAACTGACCAGATGAATATCTAAGAAGTTTAGTTTACTCGATGCTATACTCTGATTTCCTTTAATTTTTTTGAGCAGTGTGTGAGTGTTTACATATGCTACAGTAAGTAGCCACAACAGTTTAATACTGTGGCGTCGAGCAGACCGAGGCAGACACTCATTCACCGGGAAACATATTCTCTAAAAAAAGAGCCAGCCTAAGTCCAGAACATGTGGACATGTTGACATTCTTACACTATAACACAGAAGTCTGACCATCAGATGGATACGGTTGTCTCTTGCACTGTAAATGTGTTGCACTTTAACTTTTTTGCTTTGAAAAAGTGTTTCGTGAAATTTTGGATGTTAGTTGGAGTTGCGCTGCTGATGTTAAAATAAGTGCTCTTATTTGTTTATTTGTTGTTTGCATTTCTTACTGGAGGAGTAAAGGGATATAAAAGAAACATCTTTTTCCAGTTAGAGATGCACTCCTTGCAGAAATGAGCCCTCTTTATTTGTTTGCAGTTATTGATGTTCAAAATATGCTGAATATAGAGCTGAAGACTTTTTCAAAAATATTATTTACAGAAACTTTCTTAAAACCTGCACAATACTGTGAAAGACAAGACTTTTGTTATTTTTTGTGATACTGGAGTGCATAGTGCAATTGTTAAAATATTGAAAATTTAAATAAAATTGCAGATGTTTTATTTTTGGAGAAAAAAAACAATCATTTAGACTAATCGATTAATCGATAAATTTGTCAATAGATTAATCGAAATAAGTCGATAGTGGCAGCTCTAATACACACACACAGTCAGGTAAAAAAAGGTCTTGTATCGTTATCTGCAGTCCTACATCGGAAATGAAAAAATGTGGATTGGCCCATCCATATTAGAAAGTGTTAGGGTTCAGTGAAGAGGTATACTCATTGAATAGACGTTTACATTTCACACACTTGCAGTTAGTTGTGGCTTTAAATTGCACACTCCTTCATTAAAGCATCATGACAAAAACTCAGGCATGTCAGTCCCTTAATATCAGGCTTTTTGCAACTCACAGAAATATTAAAATCGCCACCTTGAAGAATAGTGATTTGTAACAGAATCGGTCCCCCCACCACCCCTATATCCTGGATATGATCTATTAAGCCTTTTGCCAAAAGGTAAAAGACAGGACTATACATGCCCACTCAGCAAGACTCAGAAACAGCTCCTGCTCCATACATGTTACCAGGCTGAACTCAATCTGCATCTGCTAGGCCCATCCACTACTGAGGGTGCGCTACCTCACTCCCCTTTTAACACTGAATGCTGCTGAGACTGACTGATCCTTCTAAACTTTTCACTTCACTTACTGCTTGAGATTCTTGAGATACCTTGAGATTCTTACACAGGGTTCTTACACCTTTTCCAACTTCAAATTCCAGCACTTTTCAAGCACTTTCAAGGTGCATTTTTATGCTTTTCCAGCACCTAACAACCGCGGTAAATTACGTTTATATATGCTGTATGTACTTTTTCACATTTAAATCCATTGTGCTATTAAAAAAAAAACACAATATGACATTTCAACTTAAATTGCGTTGGGGACACTATGTTGCAAACCCAGCAAACTTTTTGCTGACGCTTATTTGATATA